ATTGTCTATGTAGGAAATATTGGGAAATCTACAAAAACAAAACCTAAAAAACTGCTAGAATCAACACATTTAACAAAGTTACAGGATACAAAGTCAGCACACAAAAATTAATTTTACTTCTACATGGTAGTAAGAAACAGTTGGGAATGGAAAAGTTTTTAAAATATTTCCAATAGCTCCAATAAATGTGAAATACCTATAAATTTTGGCAAAAATACCCCCTGTACAAGATGTGTACTTAAAAATGACAAAACACTGATGAAAACAATCAGAGAAGATCTAAATTCATAGACATAATAAGTCGTGATTAGAAGATTCCACAAAGGTCAATTCTCCCATAATTTATCTAGATTTAATGCATATTCCCATAATACTTCTAGAAAAGATTTTTTTGTAGATTTAAGCAAGGTGCTTCCAAAATTTATATGAGAGGGATGATGGACAAGAATAGCTAAAACAATTTTGAAAAGGAAGAATGACATTTTAGGAATCATGCTACCTGATTTTAAGGCTTACCGTGAAGCTATGCTAATCAAGATAGTGTGGTTCTGGCAAAGGGATAGACAGATCAATGGATTGGCATAGACAATCTAGAAATAGATCCACACAAGCGTAGCCCATGGATTTTTTGGCAAATTTGCAAAAGATGATGTTAGATCAGTTGGACGTCTGTATAAAAAAAGAAACTCAATCTAAACCTAACAATTTATACAAAAGTTATTTCAAAATGAATGATATATCTAAATACTATAAAAATTGTGGAAGAAAACAAAGGAGAATATTTTTTTGAATTTGAGTTAGACAGAGGGCCCACTCCCCCATTTTGTGTCTGTGAGATTCTTCCAATGTGTGCTCTGTTCAGTAGATAATCGTTGTTTGATTTCAGTGAGGTAGTTTACATGACTAACACTTACTGCGCAGTTACCCTGAGATAGGCATTGTTCTAACCCTACACTGCCACTGAAAAATGGGTACTACAGTATTATCGTACTATCTCATTTTTGAGACGAGGAAACTGAAGCATGGAAAAGTTAAGGAAGAGGTCCAGAGGAAGTTCTGCCGGCCGCAGAACAGCAAAAGCCCTGTGCAGCCTCTCATTAGACTGGGCTGTACTCTGCTCTGACATTCACGCCCTCCTCATCCTACTTGAATACACAACTCACTAATATGCATGGCTCCTGTGACCCAGACCATCTACTTTGTTTGTTTGTTTGTTTTTTCCTGTGTCAGTTTTATTCACAGGCCCACATTTAAGTTGGTGTTTCTTTGCTGTTGAAGTGCCGTGTTAATCCACTTGAATCTATTTAGCGCCATCTCGTGTCTGCAGTGGGTTTTACAGAAAGCTGTGTTTTAGCACTGGGACTACAGAACAAAAGGTCTAGCGGGCAAGTTTTTGATTACCCAAATGTATTCACAAATCAGCGCACGCAGAAACTTGAATTCCACTAGACATGAAATTTCTGGTGACTTTCCTCCTGCAATGTGATCAGTTAATAGAATCTGATCACGGGAGGGAAACAGATCATAAAGAGAAAACATAAAAATTCAAGTTGGCTTTTAAATCTCCTGTGGCCTTCTTTTTTTGTAGCGGTGTCTTGGCTCCCTGGGTTCCTGCAGTCCCAGAGGCCCTGAGGGGTTAGGACAGAGGCCTCCGTTCCACCTTTTCAGCCTTGGAGGAGGGCTGAGGGATGCGCTTGCCAGAGGCCGAAGAGTCTGTATCATTTCCCCTGCACTATTAGGATGATTTAGAAGATGCTGCTAAAATCTGCCTCTAGATTTGCTTTCTTTCTTTTTAATTTAATTTTTTTCAATTGCAGTTTAATTCAATATTATTTTATATTAGTTTCAGGTGTACTGCATGGTGGTTAGACTATCATATACTTTTAAAGTGTTCCCTCCACTATTTTCAATACCCACCTTCTTCCCACAGTGGAGCTCAAATAGGAAAAGGACTGTGGTGCAAAGTCCCCATCCCTGGACATTTGCCAGCTTGTTTTGGAAGGGAGAGGAGGAAAGAAGGGGAAGAAGGGAAAATGGGGCAGGATGTGCTGAATTCTCAGAGTTCCTCCCTGAAGTGGAGGTGGAAGGGGGGCCCTGCTAGTAAAAAAATTCTGAAACCCCAGAAAAGCACCTAGCCTTGACCCGTGTGGCTCAGTTGCTTGGGCATCGTCCCACAAAGTAAAGGGTTGCTGGTTCCCTTCCCAGTCGGAGCACATGCCTGCGCTGTGGGTTCAGTCCCTGGTTGGGGGCATGTGAGAGGCAGCCAGTGATGTTTGTCTCACACATTGCTCTTTCTCTCCGTCTTTCTCCATCCCTTCCCCTCTCTCTAGAAATAAATAAATAAAATCTTTTTAAAAAGCACCTGACATTTTACATTATGGTCTTATTTTTTCTATATTGGTTTATTTTTCTATTATAGAAGTAATAGATGCTCATAATGGAATAGGGGGAAAACAGGAAAAAAATACATCCAAAGAACATATACACAAACAGAATGCTTAATGTAGCAGGAATTATCCTTCTATGCATGAAGATTTTAGTGTTTAATTGAATTTTGTAATGTGTATTCATAATTTTCTACATTTTAATTGTTTTATTATGGACATTTTACAGGTTAGGAATAGCTTTGGTAAATTACCACGAATGCTGGGTGGTAGAACTACGATAGGAATTTAGGTTTTAGTTGATATTTTGATATCAGGACACTTCAGAGAGTGAGTATCTTTGCTTCCCCCTTGCTCCCCTTTAACGCAGGGTATTTCCTTAGGATAGGTTCCCGAAATCACAATGACTCGGGGAAGAGCCTAGAGAGGATGGTTGGGTCTGAGTGCAGACCTGGAGGGAGGAGCCCGCTCGTCCTGGCTGGAGGTGGACACCACTACTTGGTAGTGATGGGTTTGGGGCACATTCTCTCACTTTTCGGAGCCTCAGTTCTTTCCTGTGTCGGGTGGCGGGTAATAATATCCACTGCACAGTAGGGATATTGTATTAATAACACATGTGGAGTCCCCTCTCAGAGCATGGCACACAGTAAGCACTAAATATATAGTAATTATTTTAAACACAATTACAGTGCTAAATCGTCTTATTACAGGATTTATACCAATTTCCCCTGCCACCAGTAATGTATGAAGTTACTTGTTTAACCTCACTAGCATTTAATAACCTAATAATTTCTTTAAAAATTACCTTTGATAATTTAAGTGAAAAATGCAACCTTAATATTGTTTTACTTAGCATTTTTTTATTATAGTGAGGATGAACAACTTTGTATGTTATTATCAACCAGCTTGTTGACTCCTACGAAATGCTTTTGGCTTTTATTGTTTTTGTTGTTGGCATTTAGGATTTTCTTATCAATCTGTATGAAGTGTTTATACAATACATTATTTAAACCTTTATCATATTTGCTGTCATGTGTCCTTCTGTCTAGTGTTATCTTTTTTATCAAACTTTGGTTTTCTTTGTATGTAACCTGATTCTCATTCAGATGAAAAAGTGGTTGTAATCATGATCTCTTCATTATAAATTCTGTAGGTGAATGTTTTGTTGAATCTATGATATTCCTTGCAAAAATGACAGTATTATGTATTCGTTTCTAATCATTCTACCTCTTGTTATTTTTCATGTCATTAAGATTGCCTGAAACTCTAGAGCAGTGTTAAATAATCATGGCATTAGTGGGCTTTATTTCTGAATGATTCCTGATTTTAATAGGAACAGCTCCAGTGTTTCACTATTAAATAGAATATAAATCTGTTACTTCCAAAAATTTACTGTTTATTGTGTCAAGGATACATTAAATTATTGATTTTTTATTTTGAGCTTTTACATATTTAGGAGCATAATTTTTTCAGAATGAGTATGTGGTTGTTTTATTTGATCTTTTGTTGGTAGGATAATAGTGGTTTTCTAATATCACTATTTTATGTTTTACTTTTTTCAACTAACACCATTTTATACAGCCTGTTTCTGACAACCTACACATAAACTTATCTTTGTGTGTAATGCATTAGAAAAGAATATGAGAAAAATACATTAATATATTAATAATGATTAAATTCAATTATGCGATTATGAATTCTTTTCACTTCACTCCTCTGTGTTTTCCAGTTTTCTAAAATGTAATGTTCTACTGTTACCATAAAAACGTCAACACCATGCCAGTTAATTATGGGTGAAATGAGATTTAGGAGGTCAGACATGAGTTTTAGGGAACCTACTTATTTAGAGCATGTAACTTCTATTCATGATCTAGAGTCCAAATTATTTTGATATTAGGAAGCTGAAATAATAGTTAATATATTTTTTAAAGGTAATAACATGGCTTGGATTTTCTTTTTGAATAATGGCAATATGTAGCGACTGTATATTCCTTAACTAAGAATTTAGGACTTTCCTTCACTACGAATTGTCTGAAAAATGCTATTTTTCATGATTTCTGACATTTTAAAATCTGAAAATCCTTAAAAGAAACTACAAGTAATATGTAAATACATATGTATCCCTTATCTGAAGGATCCAAATGGTATCAGCTCGAGATGGTTCCGCAGCCCCTGGCGCCTGCCCGATCACTGGTGGGGCAACTAGACAGGTTGCCTTTGGGAGCCTCATCTGTGCTCTTGGCCCAGCAGGAGGCCACAGCCCAGACACCATCCTGTGGTTGTCTTTGCCTGTCTAGGACTGCACACAGATATAGAAACGTGAAAACATGCACTTATACCTCAAGGCACAGAGAAGCAGCAATCACTGGATTCGGTACCTTAATTGCATCTTCCAGACACCAGGAATAGCCCTTGTTTCTTCTGCTGTGGTCAACACTTTCCTCTCTGAAATGAGATTTTGCTAATTTCAGAGCCCAGGCATTCTCTTCAAATTTGGTTCTTAACATACTATGTACTTAAAGTATGAAAATCTCAGCTGACATTATGATCATTGAAAATTATGTTTACATGTAAAACCATAATGTCTCCTTTCTTCTTTTTCTCTTATTTTTGCAGCTTTGGGCCAGATTATGTTGTATGTGGATGGGATGAACGGAGTAATAAACCACAATGAAACCATTCAGTGGCTGTATACTCTCATTGGGTCAAAGGTAAGAGAAAGTCTGGTTGAAATTTTACTCAGTTTCAGCATCATATACCTTTCTTTCTGTAATCCTGACTGAGATGGTTTTGCAGAAAGAAATCCTTTTTAGCTTGGCCCTCGCCTTGTCACAGTACAAATTAGGACTCCTATTTTATAGATTTAAAAATACACCCAAATTGCAAGGGTTTATGACTCTTTAATGCATTTTATGTTTCCCTCTTCTAAATGCTTCCACTTAGCATCTCCGGTTTTTAAGGTTTAATTTAAAAATTATACCATAGATAGAGTATCAATCTTACCTGCTGTATTTCATGTTCATATATGTTTAGTTACTGAAGTACATATTTATGTGTTGTACAGATGTATGTGCATGTTCCTATATATAGATGAAGGACTGAGACTGACTTTCAACTCTACCATTCGTTATGAAGTAACCAACATTTATTAAAGATTTGCCAGGCAACAGACACCATAGTAGGTTGCTTTACAATCATTATCTCCTTTAACCCACTTGAGACCATTATAAGGTAGATGCAGTCTGTCCTGAAAAAGTCCAGCCACTGTTAATATAATAATGGTTTGCATGATACCAATGTAACCTGGCAGCCCAGGATAATGGACTGGAATGCACATGCATGAACAATGATGACTTCACTGTACTACTCAGTGGGGGTGGTAGAGCCTGCTGAGCATGCGTACTCTGTGGCTGTCACATTCAAAATGAGCAAGTAGAGCAACGAATCTGCATCAACCTTGCATTAAGCTTGTTGAACATTCATCTGTGAAAACTATTTCAGTGATTCAGAAGGCCACAGCTATGGGCAAGTGGTGATTGGCAGCTTCATCGGAATAATGTGACCCCTCATATATCACATCTCATGCAGAGTTTTTTTTTTACAAAACATCAAATCACCCAGGTGACTCAGCCCCTCTACAGCCCAGATTTGGTGCCCTGTGACTTCTGGCTTTTCCCAAAACTAAAATCAGCTTTTAGTCTTGGAAAAAATCAGCTTTTAGTCTTGAAGGGAAGAGATTTCAGACCATTGATAAGATTCAGGAAAATACAATGGGGCAGCTGATGGCGACTGGGAGAATTGTGTGAGGTCCCAAGGTGCCTACTTTGAAGGGAACTGAAGCGCCATTGTCCTATGTGTAGTGTTTCTTGTATCTTGTATCTTCTTCAATAAATGTCTCTCTTCTCATAGTACATGGCTGGATAGTTTCTGGACAGGTCTCGTATCATGCTAGTCTACCATTTTTGTAGCTGAGGAAATCATGCTTAGTTATGAAAATCTATCCAACTTCCTCCATGGATAATTGGCATGAGTCTGCCCAGCTAGGCCTTCGCTGTGAAGCCCTCATACTGTGGAAGGGCTATGCCAAGGAGGCAGATTTCATCCTGCGAATGGAGGTGTCCTGGAGGTTGGGTGAGGCTCTAGCATCGTCCTCTCTGGGTTCTCAGGTGGGGCCATGAGGGATCTAGTTGGAGGAGGGATTTGGAAGAAGGAATAAGAAGGGATTCTGTCCTGAGCAGGTGAAAATTAACCAAGGCTGGCGTGAAGTGGAGTGTGGGGTGGGGCATTGTGGGGGAGATCGAAGTGACTGCAGCGAGCAGCAGGGTCCGGCAGAGGAGGACCTAGAGGGCCTGGATGGGGGACTTGAACCTCACTTAAGCAGGTCACAGAGTCAGCCTAGCTTCCTGGGGGTCCTTGTGGAGCACGTGGTCAGCCCTGACAGTTCCCCATCCCTGCATTCATTGTCACCCTACTTTGGCAAGCCTGTTCCATGCCTCTGTGTCATGCTCTTGGTGGTGAGTCACAGCTTTTGGCCTTGCCTCTCACATTTTCTGCTTCCCAGGACTCTGCTGGGCTTGAGGAGTACTTGACCCTGGTTTGACTTCATGTCGAAAACAGATCTAGCTGGAGGCTGTACCTTCCTTTCGGACTTCTGCGGTCCTGGTGGCTGTGCCCTGTGTGGGCAGAAGAGCCGGCCCACTGCGCCTGGCACTGGTGTTAATACCCGCTGGGTCCCAGATTGACCCTTATTTTCCTCTATTTTCTTTCCCCTAGTATTACTGACAATAGAACTTTTTCTCTCTTTCATAACAAAAACCAGCATGGGTTTTCTCAGGAGACTGGAAACTTTTTCTCCTTCCTTTTTGTTTGGCTTTGTTTTCTATGGAAAATGGGAATTACTCTATTTACAAACTGCTGTAGGTGACCTTAGAAGCTGAGTGGAACGCTGGGCCATGAGTAAGATTCGGCTGGGCTGAGGGGAGATTTCTATCTCACATCCTGTCTCAGTGTTTTATGTCTTTTCCTTCCTTCTGCTGGGAGCCCTCCCTAACCTCCATGCTCCTTTGTTGCTGCTCCCTCCCCAGGGCTTTCTGGATGGTCTTGGGACCCCAAAAGCTAGGGGAATGGAGGAGATTTTGCAATAAAAATGGACTTTTGGTACATGAAATGGCTGAATTAAGAAACCTTTATAGCTTTATTATGGTCGTGATAAAACACCAACAGCCAGCCCTATTTTTAATAGGAAATAAAACCTAGCCTGCTTACAGTAGGAAACGTGACAGTCTTTTAGCTGATCGCCCGTGATGAGAGGGAGAAGAGGTTGAGAGGAAAGACACAAAGGAGAGAAGAGGGGGAAATGGGAAAGATGCGAGGAGAGACCACAGGGGAGGAAAAGAGAGAGAGGAGATGAGCAGAAGGAAGCAGCCCTCACAGGAATGCACAGGTCTGCTCAGTAGCGGGAGGAAGACTGACCCATCAGTGTTGCAACAGCATCCTGTCGATTTTTTTCTTTGAAATCATTCTGTAAGAAAAACAACCAACCAAAAAGGAACACACAGGAAAGTCCTTACTGCGTTTCTAAATACCATGGAGAAATTGTAAAATTAAAAACCCTCAAGAATGGGCATGTAGGAATTTTGTTCCCCAGCCTTCTTTTCCTGTGCAGCACACACAGCATTCAGGACCCTGGGCATCAGTTCCCTGGGCCTCTGCCCAGGCTGCGGTGTTTGCTCCCTCACTTGGGGCATCGGCCCTGGATCAGGGCTGGGTTTCTTCTCCATCTTTCATTTTCCCAAGGGAAGGTCCATAATAGTCTCTGGCTGTTGTGTTTAACACTGGGCTGGTCACTATGAAGACAAGAAGATAGAGCCAAGGGCCAGCCTCAGCCTTGTAGCTTATGGTGTTAGAAAGGGGACCATGGGTGATGCCCCACAGCCCACGTTCATTCATTGTGATGTCATTGTGATGTGACGCTGCAGAGTGTGCTCGGTTCCAGGCTAGTGGCCAAAGTCAACAAGAGCAGCAGCCACCGAGTTTGTTTTCAGTGCAGTTCTAATGAGGCTGCCTCTTATTTACAAAGCCAGCATGGTATCTTCCCCCCGCCACCCCCGACATTCCCCTCACCTCATGCCTGGATAGTGAGGAATCCGCAAGCAGAAAGGATGCACCAACCTGAAATTCTTAGGTTTTTGAGAAGGAAACCTTAGTTCCTTCCTTAACCGCACAAATTGGGCGATACAGCCATATGAGGTTTTCCCAGTTCATATAAAATTAAGGAGTTGGAAAGGCCAAGGACCCTAAGGGCTTTCTTTTGACTAAGAGTCAGATTCTGGGAACCTAAAAGGTTTACCTGGAGATCCTGTGGTTTTTACCTTAAACAGGCACAGAGTTGATGATGACATTCTGGGTTAGAGAAACCTTGTCATTCTCTTACAATTCTTCATTTTTCCTCCCATGAAAGGCAATAGGATGTGATTTTGCAGCCTGCCAACGGGTCATTATGCAATGCATATTTGCAGATATTTGAGCTCATAGTCAGAGGACAAAATGATGTATTTGCAGCCAAATTACTTTTTAAAAGAAAGAAAAGTTATTTTCAATAAAGTGCTTTATTCTATTCACCAAAGCCCACCTTCAAACTCCAGTCAGAGGTAAGATGCAGTTGCTCACCCCATGACTTCTCACATGGTAGGCATTTTTTTATTCATACATCTGGAAGTCTTAATTAATTTGGGTAAGACGATTCAGCTTATATAGCCTAGCCTTTGTCACTCTAACAGTACATCTGTCTCTCTGTATCTGCATGGATCCCCTTCTGGCTCATGAGGGGAGCCTAGGGACCCTCGACTTCTTCGGGGCTCCCCCGGGATGCCTCCTGATGTGGTCATAGAATCTGCCCTATCTGTGGTGCCGTCCACCTTGACTCACTCTGTCCTCTCTAGTTTTCTTTTAGCCCCATTGAATCTAATTCTTCCAGCTGTGCCCTAGGATGCTGATCACAGATCTCCAGATATCCTTTGTACTTGTGTGAGGTTGGTCACGCTTTCCTGCTTCCCCTACTACAGCTACTAAACCTGAGCTGAGGAGAGCCTGGGCCAGAGCCCCCTTCCACACACATGCAGTCTCTTAAACACATGAGGGAGCCATATTCTCTCCCTTCCTCCCTGCCATCCCCCCTTCCTCCCTCCCTGCCATCTCCCGCCCTCACACACACACACACACACACACACACACACACCGGGGACACTGCTAAAGTTTCTCATTAGGACAGTGAGATTATGATGATAAGTAACATGTGGTATATAGAGTGGAGTGGTGGAGGGGGAGGAATTGACAGGAATGGGAAGCTAAGGGCCTAGTACATTATCAAAGCTGTGAGGCGATGAAGCCTGGTTAAGAGTTACAGTGGAAACAAAATATGGAATAGAAATATGGAGACATTTTGAGGAATAGGTTGCTAGGATTGGGTTTCTGGATATGGAAAAATAAAAGCAGGAATCAAAGATGGGGGTCACCGTTTTGAACCTGGGAAGCCAGGAGTACAGCATTGCTTCTGGTGAGAGGAGAGAAGTTGGGAATTGGGGTTCCTTGGCAGGAAAACTTGGACACACTGGCTTTGAGATGAAGGACACTAAGCAGACACCTCCAAGGTGCCAGGTGCTCCAGTAATTGCTGGCTGGTGAGCTCTTTGATCTCAGCCACTGGCCCGTCA